AACTGATTCGACTTTTATGGTTTTCAAGTTTCTACATTGTGTACAATTCTCTTAAAGTAAATAACAACAATTGTTTTTGTTTGTACTGCTTATTTCCGACACTAACACAATCTTTTTTTCCAGCTAACATTTTTGAATTTTCATTTGTTTCGTTGCAATAAAACTTTATAATTTTTTGTTTTTCTTCTGTCAGAACATTGCTACCATTCTTTTTATCTGGTAACACATAAATACCTTTTTCTTTAACTAAATTTCTAACAGCGTCAGCTATTGCACAAGATATTCCTAAACAATCCACAAAATTTTGTGTTTAAAAATGTTACACAAGGATTTTTCACTTTCAGAATCATGTAGTTTTCCGTGATTTCAGCATAGAAATGAGTTATGAAATGAGTAAATAGAAATGGGTATATCTACAACCAATACAACCTCTATAACTAATAATAATTAAAAAAAAAAAGGTTTCAGATACTATTCCCCAGAACAAATGTTTAAAATTATGAATCTATATCTAAAAACGAATACTTTTATCGTGGTTTGATAATTTTAAAAATATAAGAAATATGAGATTTTGAATTTTGAAAAAAATTTGACTTTTTTCAAAAATCCGCCATTTTGACCGGTAGAGACTCAAAATTTTCATTTGAAAACATCATAGATCGATTCTTCGGTAAATTTCCATACAGAAAACATATATTTTGGTGCATTTTGTGTGAGAAATTGAGTTATAATGTGTAAAACAAGTTAGGTATGTCTAAAATCACACCTTATCCATTAAAAAAATATAGCACTTGTAAAACAGAAAATAATTATCGTAGAGGGCTGAAATAGTTTTTAAAAATCTGAGATGGTCGGGTGTCGTGTCGTGCTGAGTTCGCATGGAATTACCCTTATACAATTGCCCCATCAATGCAACCATTTGTTGAATCAAATGGGGAATGCAGATGAGACCCCATGTACTTCGACATGCCTTCTAAAAATACTGTTGCTACGAAAGGGTATAATATCAGTTATGATAAAACGTCTAGAAACGGGAAAAAATGCATGTTATGGTCATCCTGGGAGTGTTGGCAGATGGCAGGAAGCTACCACCATTTGTTATCTTCAAAAAGAAGAATTTGCCCAAAGAAAAACTACCAAGTGGAATAACTTTTAAATGCAATGAATTCTGGGTGGATGACTGAAAGCGTAATGATTTCTTGGCTTCAAGAAGTTACCGGGTGCCCTATTACAGCAGAGAGGATTGTTAACCCTTGATGCCTTTAAGGGCCACCTTACAGAAGAAGTGAAAAAGAAAGTTACTAGTTTAGAAACAGATTTACTAGTGATACCAGGAGGCATGACCTCACAGTTGCAAGTCCTTGATGTGACTGAACAAATCTTTCAAGCACCAACTCAGACGCCAATATGAAGGGTGGCTGTTATCAGGGAACTGCCCATTAACTCCTGACTTCAAAAAACCTTCAATTGGACAGCTTGGTCAGTGGAATCTAACTGCATGGAATAATGTATCAACTCAGTGTATAATAAAAGGTTTCAAAAAGTGCTGTATAAGCAACAGTCTGGATGGCACAGAAGATTGTGTTACAGAGTGAGAGTGATGGACATGAATTGAGTGACTATGAAACAAGTGAAGATGATATTGAGAGATGATTAAATGAGGAATGTGGATGTGGTAAAATTGTAGTTTAATACATGTACTGTATAAAATATTGATATGCACAAAATAATTTATGCATAATGTTAATAAACATGTAAGTAATATAGATGTGTTTTTTTGTTGTTGTTTTTTTCAATTTCATTACCTAGTAGGAAACTGATATCAAGTTATAAAAACAAGGGTTGTCTTATATTGGGGTGTATTCCCCCCCCGAATTTCAAGGTGTAAAAACATGACTGGTCTTATATTTGGGTAAATACGGTATTATTGGAAAGGGCATCATCATGGATAGGATAAATTGTGGACATAAAGCTAGTTATTATTACTAGGAAAGTAAAATTATTAAAAGTAAACAGGAAAAGTAAAATAAAGAGAACATGCGTTGTTAAACTGTTGCTTATGCAAATGAACATATTATAAATTCTGAGACTCCTAAAGTACTCTTTTTTAAGCCTAATTACTTGTTATGATGTGTATAAGTTACATGCTTTTAAAGGAATTCCTTGTGCAGATTAGGAACAGGTCCTGTATAGGGAAAGATGCCTTTAGGGGCCACCTTACAGAAGAAGTGAAAAAGAAAGTTACTATATAAAGAATTAATAAAGTTATGATCATAAAATAAATATTAAATTTTAAAACAGTTTCCATAAACAAGGTGTATTATTTTATGTGTGATGACAAGCTACATACACATACATTTCTAACAAGTAACACATTTAGTACTGTATTTACCCAATTGTATGCCGAACTCCCCCCCCCTTTTCTTCTTCTTCTTCTTCTTCTTCTTCTTCTTCTTCTTCTTCTTCTTCTTCTTCTTCTTCTTCTTCAAATATTGACCTTCGGCTTGGAATTGATATCATTGGGTTGCTTTAACATAGCTGACATCAGACAGCCATAAAGATAACTATTTTTTGTCGGCCGTGCAGCTGACGTGGTAGAAAGTACAGATAACACCCATATGAAGCCACCACATATATTAGTTTGAAATATGTAATTGATTAAAATTCTGAGTGACAGTTGGGGTAAAGTGGTGTTGCCTTACTCACGACACACATGTGGTTCTGGCCACCAAGCCCGGGACCAACCCTAGCAGTCATTCTTTTTCAGTGGTCTCTGGCTTGTCTTTTGCAAGTGTGCGCTGGGATAGATGATGCTTGGAAAAGTATTCCTAGAGATGTTGTCGCAAGGGCTTTTAAAAATTTTTCAATCTCAAATGCCCTTTACAGCAGTGAATATGACTTCCTTTTCATGGCCAAAAGTGACTCAAGCGGGGAATCTGAGTCGTCCAATGTAGGCATCTGAGTCAATGATTTATTGGTTACAGGCAATCGCCCTTTGAATGCATATCATTTATTACATAATTACTTAATTCTAAGAATTTTATCACATGCAATATTGCTTTCACATTAAATATTCAGGAATAGTCATTTAATAATAAATTTTTAATTTGTATAACACAGTTTTGATTAGAGTAAAAATCTATACTAAATTTATTTGCTAGATTGCACATTCTCCATAAAGGTGCATAACGAAATTGATTTGTTTTCACAAATGGAACGTAAAAGATATCACTTTTTATGTTACGAAGCCTCATTTCTGGAACTTTCAAAAATAGTTTTGAGTGTAGGGGGATACAATCAATTTCATTCGCGATTAATTTGTTTAAGAATTTTAGATCATTAACTTCCCTTTGAGATTTTAACGAGCTGATGTTCAGTATGCTAGCAATTTGATAATAATCATGACTGATTTTGGGTAGGGGTAAATTTAGTTTCCATGCCATGAAATTTAAAAATTTATGTTGTATTCTCTCTAATTTTCTTGAGATATTCTCATATATTGGTGACCACACGGAGGAACAATACAATAGAATAGATCTAACTAATGTTAAGTATAACATTTTAAATGAAATTGGGTTTATGAAATTCGTGGTCATTCTTCTAATAAATCCGAGATGCTTTTGATATAATTTGATCAATATGATTTGAAAACTTTAATTTTGAGTCAAAAATCACTCTCAAATCCTTCATTAGTGAGGCCTTTTCTAATAAGTGGCCATTGATAGAGTATTGAAAATGGATATTATTTCTTAACCTAGTATAAGTCATGGTTTTACATTTATATATATATTTAGATGAAGTTTATTATCATTGCACCATAAATATAATGAATTTAAATTTGATTGTAATGTAATACAGTCTTGCAATTTTATTTCAGAATATAGTTTCAAATCATCAGAATGATCTCCAAAATGTATAGAAATTAGTGGTCTGAGTGTGTTAAGCACCAAATGTGTTTCTGACATTTAAATAAATATCCCATTTTTCTTTATTTTGTTCATTATTTCTTGGGGTTGGCCATTTATTAGGATGGAGGAAAAAAGATGCACGATATTATGTATAAAGTCATAGAAGCAGGGCCCTATTGCAGGGAAGAAAACAGGAAGACAGTATCATTATGGTGCTTTCGCATTACTCGAAGCTTTTCAAAAAATGTTTCACACAGTAATGCCAAATTAATTTAAAATTCAATTTTAAACTCTAGAAGATCTAGAACTCCGTAAGAGCATGGGCTTCCTCGCATTAGAACACAAGAATTTAACTTCAGCATGTCTTCCGAAAGGTCACTGCCACTTCTTGCATGAATATCTTCCCAGCAGTGACTCGCCCCTATCTTTGATTGATATGGAACATACCATGGATCATGCTTTCATGCTCTATAGTAAGGTACTGGTAGGCATGGGTATCACATCAGGGTGGGGAGTACATTTTTGGTATATGGATACATAAGAGATAACTTCCCATCTGTACCTTACCTATTGAATCATACTCCTCAATAATTTGACAATGGTGATGCCCATGTTCTTAAAGATTCAGCCAGTAAAGGCATTGTCATGCTGCTTGTCTAGAAGAGATACTTGGTAATGATGAATTGTCTCTGTGTACTTTTAATCTTCTTACAAGAAAGCTATATTACCAAATCATCCATTTTACTATTAGACATGGTTATACTTTTGATTTTCTAGAAGCAGTTTATTTTGTATCTTAAAAAAGATTTTAGCTAGTCACTGTTAGTGCATATTTGTTTGATACTTTGACAGGTACCAATGATCTTAATTTTGTAAACCCTAAACCTTATCCGACATCATTATTCCTATCAAACTTTATATCCATTGTCCTGTTCGGTACTTATCAAACATTGGAAATACTTCACAAAAGTCACCTTTTTTTCTAAGGAAATGGAGCTTCTTATCAAGAGGTTATTTATTTTGGAAGTGTATTTATATGTTAATCAGAATTATGTTATTTTTTTCATGTTTTCAAGCATTTTTTTATCACAGATAAAAGCTCAGTTTTGAGCCCGAAGACGAAAGTTTTGAGCCCGAAGACGAAAGTTTTGAGCCCGAAGGCGGAAGTTTTGAGCCCGAAGGCGGAAGTTTTGAGACCAGAGAACATGAAAAAACTAATGGTCGTGTTACACGATTGTGATATTCTTGAAAGTCCAGTAAATCCTGATTTAGATGATGAATCAAGCTCTAGTGAGGAAAATGAAAATAAATTACCAAATAATGAAGTGTCTTCAGACAGAATTGCCTCATTGGCAAGTGTACTTCCACCTTGCAATCCAGTTATTAAAGACTTAGCTAGTGCCATTCTGCAAGTTGGACAAAGTCTGGACTCCCGATGTATCAAAAAGCCACTAGGTATACCACTCATCTTAATTTAGATAGTAATAAATTCCTTTTAAAGTATCCAAAATGTTCTGAGTTTGTTTTAAAATTTGTTAATTATTTGTTCCTTTCAGCTGACGAGAGAGGAAATGTGAAGTCACGTATAAAATATTGGGAAGATTCTTTGATGAACTCGACCAATTTTTCACAATTATTTATTCACCTTTCCACATTGGGTGAGTTGCATTGCATACAAGTTAATTTTACTAACTTACAGACAATAAAATCAGTTAACACTTTGGTTTACTGGGTTTCAGAAAACAGTATTAATTGGGCCAACTCTGTATACAACTCACCTTGCTTTGTGTGTAATTCACGAAAAAATGGTAAGAAGATGATTTTTTGTGATGGATGTGATAAGCGCTTTCATTTTTTTTGTGTGAAGCCAAAATTGAAGGTGAGTACTGTTGGTTGTAAATCTTTTATTATCAGAAAGCTGAAGGGCTTCAGGGAGACAAAGATGGTAGTTCAAAGTTGTCTTACATTGGTTTTTACCCTAAAGATTAGAGTTTCATAAAAATATTTGTGTGTATGAATTTCAGAATCCATTTTATTCTCCTTAATTCATTTCTCTTTGTCTTGAAGGCTACCAAAATAATTAATATTCTTAAATTTATTTTTCACTTATCTTCTGCCGTTTGTAACAGATAACTGTATACCAGATTTTCCCTCCTCCATCTTGAGCATAAATCTATTTCAGTTTATTTTTTGTATACCACTTTTAAATATTGGAAAAAGTTTGTTGTAGGATTACGTTGTGATGCATAATAAAAGAACATTTTCACAACTACAGTAAATACGGTAATTTCGAATAATCCGAATAAAAATTTGGGATGGAGAAACAATTAAAATGCTTATTTGTAGTGTAAAGAAAGGACTTCATAATTACTGTAGAACTGAACAACTAATTATTGAAACACAGGTTGTCAAAATAAAGTGTTTATTGCACTGGTAACTACGGTGTATATCACATGTTAATGTAGCTGTAATTTTCACTTGGAGTATCTTACAAAATCTGTAATATTTTCTCGTTAGGAACTGAATTTGCCTGAAAATGAGAGGACTGCACTACGTTATCATTTTCTCGCACCGCACGCTAAGTTGCATTGCCTGGTAATCCTGTAGATGAATTTGTATATGAACGCTTCATTTTTTTCGAATAATCCAAACCTCCCACACCCAGCAATTAGTTTGGATTACTGGGGTTCTATTATACATGTTCAATAGATGCCAAACTTAAAAATATTTAAAAATTTGGCATTTAACATGTAATTGTAAATTCTAAAAACAAATTGTGATAATTTAGAATCATTGTTTTATAGTGACTATTATGTTTCTTTACTACAGGGCTAGATTAAAAAATATAATTTGTTGTTTGTTTTGCATTTTCCATTTTTGTAAATTGCGTGGTATACTTAATAGTTAATTTCAATGAATAACTATGTTAATTATTTATCTTACAAAAAGCTCAAAGAGACCATTTAACTTTCAAAACCATTTTCAAACTGTATGCCACTGTGATTAGCAGTATTATAATGACTTCTGCATTTAGTACATTGGATTTAATGAGTCTCTGATCTGCAGCAGGGGGACCTTTATAATATTGTGATATAATAATAAGCCGTTTAATCTACCCTGAATACACTCGCAAACCGCATATACATTTTATCTAATAAAATAAAACTATTATGGGTTGTTTTAATTGTGACCTTCACAGATTCAAGTTTTACTTTCAAAACTTTACTCTTTGCAAGTTACACATGCACCCCCACACATACACACCCTCACACCCTCAAACCACACCCCACACCCTCACACCCTCAAACCAAACACCACACCCTCTAACCCCCAAACCACACACCCTCACACCCTCTTACCCCCAAACCACACACCACACACCCTCACACCCTCTTACCCCCAA